AGATTTCAGATACTTCTTAAACATCTTTTTTCATTGTTAGATATACTTTAAAAAAGAGTAAACTAAATCGGACTTGGGAAAATATAGGCAATATGATATCAGCTAATACAAAATAGCCCAGATTAATACTACAATGGCTAAACTCTATTTGAACTCTAATGTTGGAAGACAGAAAGAGGCATAAAGAAACTTGGTTTAAGTTATTAGGGCCAAATAGAGCTTTAGATTATGTCATGAGACTCTATTAAGAAATCACAGAATTAGACTATTAAATCTATATATATCAAGAGTAATTATAGTGAAGTATTTATGTTAGAGCAATAAACTTTCTATAAGTTGAACTCAACTGAGTTATGCTACTTTCAGTTAGTTTTATTTTAGCATAAAAAGATCTCGCATATATACTTTTTACAAAACTATTACAATATAGATTTTAAAGTAAAATTTAGTGCAAAAGCTAATAAAACAAATATAGTTAGGAAAGTAGATAAAGCGACTATATTCACAAAAGGGCTAAAGCTACTAAGGCTACCATCTTGAACATAGTAGCTAAATTCAATAATGTGACTAAAGCTATGAAAGTGGATAAATTAACTAAGTTCAATATACTAACTATTTTTAATAGAATTGTAAGATTCAACCCAAGCTATCTTGAATTGATTAACAAATATACTAACTATTTTTAGTAGAATTGTAAGATTTAACTTAAGCCACTTTGAAATTGATTAACAAATATACCAAATTCTCTAAATTTATATGTATCTGATCTAATATAAAGAAAGTTATATAATTCACCCTTTTACAACCTACACTTTATTTCTAGCAGAAACAAAATATTATCTACTTTAATTATAGCTTCAGCAGATTTCGGATACCTTTAAAATGCCTTTTTTTCATTATTTAGTGTACCTACACTTTATTTTTAACAAAAAAGAAATTATATTGTCTAATTAAATTACCACCTCAACAGATTTTAGATATCTCTTAAATACTTTTTTTATCTACGCTTTATTTCTAGCAGAAACAAGATTATATTACCTACTTTAAATTACCTTTTTTATCTTTTAGTATGTATAGATTTATTCCTAACAAAAATTTAAGATTTATTGCAACTTGAATTTCTAGCTTTAGCTAATTAAAATACGACCCAATACTATTTTTTTTTTATTAAATATGCCTACACCTTATTTATAATATAATCCAAGATTTTTTACTTGAATTGCTGCTTATATTAAAATTCAAGAATGCATTCTTCACTTGAATTTCTAGCTTTAACAGACTTCAAAACATTATTCAAATATCTTCTATTCTTAGCTATGACATGATTTCATTATCATGTAGCTTGTAAAAATTGCTACCTTCAAAAACAAGAATTTTTAAAAAAATATACAAAACATAATAAAATGAATTAATATACTATACAACTTCAAGCTGTAAACTTAATTAAAACTAGTGCTGTACTATAAAAAGTTGACCTTCCATTTTGCATAATCTGGTATTTGTCACCTTTTTTTTTTTAGTATATTGGGATAATTAAATAAGTGCAAATCTGCAAAAACTTGCAAAAATACAGATTTTTGCAGAATTTTTTGCAAAAAACTGCAAAATTTTTTATATATTGAAATTTTGCGCAGAACTGTATTTAATTTCTGTAGCTATAGCTGGTGAGTCTGAAGTTTTGCACAAATTTTCATTTAATTTATTATTTAATTTTTTTTGTAAATCTGCACAGAACAGCACTAAAAAATTTCTTACCATGTATTATTATGAATCTACTGAAGTAATAGATTTATATTATATATAAGCCATGCATAAGTAATTTTTCACCTTTGTGTAACATAGAATCAGAACATGTAAGGTAGCGATCTTTTTTTTTACTATGCCTATTGGATAATTAGCACAATTGGGGCTTTTAAAAAAAATTAAAAATTTGAAAAAAATGGGTAGAATTGTCTTTTTGTTTATATTTTAAGTAAAATGTTGAACATCATATAATAGCCCAATTAAAACAAAATTATGTAATATCTTTTAATGTATTACTAGTATAACAGGTGGTGTGAAGTGCCACCCAACTCCTTATTGTTGTGATATATAGTATAAATTAAAATTATCTGTAAAAATCGTGTTTCTATCATGTATTAATATAATAAATAAATTATTACAAAACTTATTACTATTCTGGTAATACACATTATGTAGTTAAGATTGTTTAGTTTGTATTGAAATTAGTATAAACTCTATCATATTCTACTATAAAAATACTATTATAGAACTTGTTATTCTGTTAATACATAGAATTGGTTAAAGTTAGGTTCGTATCAAAATAATCATGATTTCTATTTTGAGTTACTATAAAAAATTCTAGTAAGTACAAAACTTATGTAGTTGAGCTATATTGTATACTATTATAAGAAATTTTAATACAGGACTTACTTAAAATTCTAGTAACACACAGTATATAGCTAGTTTGTATTGAAATTATTGCAATTTGTATTAAAAAAGATTATTATATAACTTATTTATTCTGTTAAGATATAGTAAAGTAGAGCCAGATATTAAAAATTTTCATAAAAATTATTTTATTTACAATATTTGTCAAAATAGCATAATATTCAATTTACTATCTAGCAAAAAATAAAAAAATAAAAAATTTAAATTTTAAAAAAAAATTAATATTTTAAACTTTCAAATTGTCAAAAAAATATAATACTTTGTATAGTGGGTGTTATTTAGCAATTTATAATCATGATTGGTAGGGAGTCACTTGCTAAGTTTGTTTTTTTTGAATATTAGAAAAACATAATTACATAGTAACTCATGAAATAAATAACAAAAAAAAATTTTTTATGATCATAAGAGTTTGCCAGATAAGGTATAATATGCATATTGATATTTAATATTGTATTGTTTTTATATTTTACTTCATTGATCTTTTCTTCAAAATTACCTAAATAGCAAAAAGGAAAAAACATATCAACTACAACAAAAAGTCTAATTTTAAATTAATTTTTAAATAGAATTAATTAATTTTTGATTCATTTGATTTGTCTTAGTAAAATGAACCGAATATTACTAAAATTATTCAATTCTGATTAGTGAATATCTAGAAATCACAAAAAATATAAATATACCAATGATACACTATAACGACTCTACTCTATATGGTTAAGGTTGGGTTAATTTTACTATAAGTTACTATAAAAAATTTTATTACAGAACTTGATTGCTATTTTGTTGACACGAGGTGTATTATTAATGTTAAGTTAATTTGCATTAAAATAATATAATTTTCATAATAAGTACTATAAAAAATTCTGTTAAAAGCTTGCCATTCTAGTGATATACAATATGTGATAAAATTGAGTTAGTTTGTATTAAAATTATAGTTTTTTTTTATAAGTTAATATAAAACCTTATATTACAAAACTTGCTATTTCAATAGCACAATATATGATTAAAGTGTTATCAAATTTGCTATTCTGGTAATGCAATATGCAGTTAAAGTTAAGGTAGTTTTAAGTAAATTATTGTGGTTTCTACCACTCACTGTTCTAGTAACATATAGTATTAGATAAAGTTAAGCTAGTTTATAATATAAATTATGGTAAAAATTCTGATACAAAACTTGCTTGCTATTCCAGTATATAGTCAAGATTGAATTAGTTTGCATTGTAAAATTAACTTAAAATACAAAACTCACCTGCTATTATAGTAACAAAACATGTAGTTGAAGTTGAAGTAGTTTATTCAAATTATTGTAATTTCTATCATGAGTTACTATAAAAAGTCTTTACAGAATATTTGGTAATGCACAATATAAGATTGAGTTAGTTTGTATTAGAATTACCATGATTTCTACTATAAAAAATTGGTACAGAACTTATTATTCTGGTGTATACAGTATGTAGTTAAGGTTTAGTTAGTTTTGTATTAGAATCAATGAGTTGAGCTACTGTAAAAAACTCTGCTACAGAACTTGCTATTCTAATAACATGGCTTTGTTACATAATTTACTCATTATTTTGGCAATATACAACATGTAATCAAAGTTGTGTTGGTTTGCATTGGAATTATAATAATTTCAATTGTGAGCTACTATAAAAATTATTATATAGATCTTACTTGTATATTTATAACACATTGCATGTAGTTATGGTTGGGTTAATTTGCTATGATTTCCATAGCAAGTTACTAACAAATAAAGAATTGATCTATGAGTTGATGAGTCAACAGTGAAATTGTAGTATAGATATGGCAAATAGAAAATCTGGAATAGGTTATGTTAATACTGATTTCTGAATTAATAATTATATAAAAAAAAAAACTACTGAAAAACTCAAATTAACTATACTCAAATAAAATAATCCAAGCTGAAAACTGCACCCTTTATTAAGCATGGATAATATTTTATTTACATTGAAACACAATGGAAAATCTAAAAAAACACTGTTATAAAATTTTATTTGCAATTATAGAAAAGCCAATATAATGATACAAAAAAATTACTATCTTTATTATATACAAATGCTTTATTAAATTTGGTATAGGAAATTTTATTTAAAATAGCTTCTGTAATAACAAATAAAAAAGAAAATTAGCAAAAAGCAACAACTGCAGCTACTAATATCTCAAAAAGAATACATGTAAGAAAAAAGACCATTAAAATAATGCAAAATGTTAACAAGAAAATAATTTTATTTCTGTATTTTAGAGAAATTATATTTCTACTAGTACAATATAAAAATTTTAAATTGTTTATTAAATGGTTAATATTATTATATATTTTTGTGCATATTTGAAATCCAGATATCAATATAGGATTTAAATTTGAAGATTAATGTAACTTGTCTGAGATTTTTTATCTGTCATAAATTTAGATAACTTAATGACTTGCTCTTGCAGAGTGTATTTCTGATTACTCTTCCTCCTACCCAACCAACTGATATTGCTTTTACAAAGGTCTAATTAAGTTAATATTTTGTTTTTGTAAGTGCTTTTGATCATGCTGTTTCTATGTTAGATCCACAGTTATAATGTTGAATTTTGAGATCTTTTAGAGTTTTATTAATTTGGAGTGCATCAACTAAATCCTTCACTGCATTTAGTCTAGTAGTACTTGCAAATAATTTTATATGAAGACCCAACAATGTTATAGTTTTATTTTTATAGAGAAATTTGACCAAGGATTTGCTTCTTTTATCACAAATATAATATCTAAAACCTCTAATTTTAGTCTAGGGTTTTTATTATAAAACTTTTACAAATCCAAAATTCTATCTCAGTCATAACAATTTAATAAATTTTATTTTTAAGAATATAATGAACAGGAAAATAGCTCATAAGGTTTGTGTTCTCTAGACTCATATTATAAAGTAGGTATGGTGATTCAGCAGAGCTGTCTATTAACTAGGGTGATCAGCTAAATTGTAATATAATACTCTATTAACAAACTGCATACTATTTTACTTTTATTAATATGCTATAATTAGGTACAACCTAATTTTTTTTATCATCTAGGGTAAAAATTTGTCATATCTTAATATAGAATATTTTATATATTTATAAAAATTATTTAATGTAGTTTTTCTAAAAAAAGTATTATTTATGGACTTTTCTATATATCTCTGGCCAGAGATATATAGCTTATGTATCTCTGGCCTTTTGGGCCAATCAAAATGTGGCA